TCATTGGACACCAACAGCATCAACAAAACACGTTTTCAGAAAACCGAATTCTTAGAGAAATTCAGCTTCAATTCCAATATTTCATAAAAAATGTGACTCAATAACGATCATTGCCAGTTAACATGGTTTGTATTTTAAAATATGGAACCAATGTACAGTAACCCCTTTCTAGTGCCAGGTTTTGAAAAAATACCATCATCACTGTCTATATTTCTTTCAGCTCTTGTAATATGCTTGTCAAAAGTTTTTGTTTCATTTCTCATGCTTTCAAAACAAACACTTGAACTTGAAATTTTGCTATAACGGTATTCATATCCTCATCTTAAAGGTATTTGAAAACCACATGACATAATTTCTAAAGTTTACTTATAGTGACCAAGCAGAAGAAGATTTCAATGTCGTCAACACTTTCAAAAGGAATGAAGCCTTATCAACAGTTTCACAATCAAAGTCACCATTATGCACGTTTCTCAACAGTTGAAAAGTTATTATGGTACAGTTTTCTGTTTGATTTAAACAACGTGTATCACTTCCTTTTGGTTGTTATTGCTGCTGAATGTTCTAGAAGAGATTATGTCGCTTTGTGCCGATTTCAGTAAATGAGAACTATTCATGGACTGTCGCAAATAATTTTATTTTCAGTTTCTTCTATATGTGTCTATAACCACTAAATGTAAGAAATGTGCAAAGCAATGCAAATGATATGCTTTTGAAGCTTAATCTTTCACATGAGCCTGATGTCTCGTGTGATGACGTGACATAGTAGAACAGCCATCATATCTTCAGCCACGCAGATTTTTTAAGATTTTGCAGTAGACTTAACATTTCCGCAGCTTTCTTCACACAGAACACTATCAAAACTAGTAAAGGTTCGATTACTTATTCATTTTCTCGGACATATCCGACAGCAAAAAAAAAAAAAAATGTGTTATTTGTTGCAGTCTGGTGCTGTTTCTAGGTAGACGAGAGGCACCTGTCTTTATAATGTCACTTATAACAGCTTCACGAATAATCTCAACACTGGCTCGACTCATTTCATTTTGAGTGAGATATAACCAGGGTATCCAGGGGGATTAACTTTTGCATTTTGTAGATGTTTGGTTTGTTTTTAATTTCGCGCAAAGCTACACGAGAGCTATCTGCGTTAGCCGTCCCTAATTTAGCAGTGTAAGACTAGAAGGAGGGCAGCTAGTCATCACCACCCATCGCCAACTCTTGGGCTACTCTTTTACCAACGTATAGTGGGATTGACAGTCACATTATAACGCCCCCCCCCATTCTTCCGGATGGCCCGACGTCACTGCTCACAAAATCCAATGTTGTAATAGGTTTTACAAAGTGATAGTTTTAAGCATAGTAACTTAAAAACTTGCATTAATTCATTATAACTTAACTTGTTAAGAATTAGAAACGAATATTGGTTAAGGAGAATCGTGATGATTATGAAAATTTAACACTGGTTATTTAGAACCATGCTGATGCTGAAGAACTAACCACATTTATAAAGAATCACGATTGTGATAATGGAAACTAACATTTGATTTGGAGAATTATGATAACATTAAGAACTAATACCGGCAATCAAGAATCACTCTGATGATGAAAACTAATACTGGTTATAAGAAATCACGTTGATGATGAAAACCTAACACAGGTTGTGAAAAATCGCGATTATGACAAAACTAATACGACTATAAAGAATCCCCATGAAAAAAGATGAAAAACTAACAGCAATTATGGAGATTCATGGTGATATTCATGATAAGTTAACACCTCTTATGGAGAATAGCGCACTTGAATAAATATTTAGATTGTCTTGGTGAAACCAGGTGAATATAACATCGCAATTCGATAAAAGCAAGATTTCTATTGTGTTTTTTTTCTTCTAAGTTTAGATATAACCAAACTGAGATTTGTAATAGAGAAATTATGTTGGTTGATAATTAGCTGTTTAGTTAGCTAACTGAAGGTGAACTTAAAAGAGGTATGACTATGAATTCGTGCTGATATTGTACAATTTAGGTTAGGTTTATAGCTAGCTATAGGATGGGCGCACTTAGATTGAAATAAAGCTCATATATCTTCAGAAGATAGATATGAAGAGCTAACTGGCATAATCGCTTTATCTCCGGTGTATAGGCCGCTTTTCAGCTATTCAGAGCGTCCCAAAGTCGAAAAACAGCGAATAGCTAAAACCGAGATTTCCTATTTTCTTTCATTATCATCTTTTATTAACAGGCCTAGTACCTACCTAGTTCTAGCATAAACTATAATTTTATCATCAGTTGACAGAGCAAAACAGTCTTCACGATCTTTGACTACCTATTTTATTATTATTCTATGCAAAATTTATAAAGCTTTAGAATACAATCCATAACCTAGTGACCTACGTATGTCATCTTATAAAAAAGTAAAAAAGCAAGTATTAGGAAAAAAATATATCGCTAAATATAAAAATCCATGTAAGGCTGGCTACAGTAGTTGAAAAAATGAACCAAACAAGATAGGGATGGAAGTGGACATATCACTTGATCCGGCTAATCATAACATAGCAGACTAAGCTGTCTCGACTTTACATGGAGAAGAAAATCCCTACATTACAGTCTTCCTCATTGAAAAAACAAAGAGAACCAGAATTTCCAATCGTAAAATGTTATTCTATTGTAAAATAGTCATAAAAGTAGTATTTTAAAGTTAACTAAAAGAAAGGTATAATGATGAAAGCTGAGATTCTGTTCAAACACCAAACTTTCGATAGATAAAGTGGGGAAGTCAGTAATGTATGGATTTTATTCTCCGTTTAAAGTCGAGACGGCTTATTCTTCTATTCGATCATTAGCCGGATCAAGTGATATGTCCACTTTCATCCCCATCTTGTTTGGTTACGTTTTTCAAGTTCAGTAGCCAGCCTTACATAGCTTTTTTATTTGGCGATACATTTTTTCCTAATACTTGTTATTAGATTTTGGTGATCGTATAGACTAGTAAAACATGACAACGAGATGTAACTGTATCCAGTGGATTGAACCAGCAGAACTTAGGATAACTGTGTTTAAGCTGACACTGAAAGCGATATGAACTAAACAAGAGATTGCAAACTTTGAACGGGTTAGTCTGAAAAGGAGAAAAATACACTTAGTTTCTCAAGCTAGACCTGTAGTCTCAACTCTAGAAACGAAATAAAATAAAACCAAGGAACTTCAACCTAAGACACGTCTTAGCCAATCGCTCTCAGGAGAAATTGTAAATATATCCTCGCTCTAAGAAGGTATACCACCACGTACAATTGCTCCAGGCAGTGATTAAAACAACCTGGACTGGCACCTACTTCAGCAATTTCCTTCCTTGTGCAACGTTTCACAATATTACAAATTAATTTTGCCACACCAAGTATTAGAACACACATGGAAAATATTTGTATGTTTTGTAATCTTCTGTGCAAGAAGGGGACATAACATTGTTGTTTCATTGGTGTCTCTTTCTTCCAAGGTTACCATAACAATTTAATGGCATCTATATATTTCTATATTTTAATGACGAGATCTGTTGTCTTCATAATTTAGTTATGGGATAATCTTTAATACACACCTCTATCGATGTTTCAGGAAAGATCTATTCAGAGTAAGGCTTATTGTACACATCAATTACTTTATATATATATATGCCACATGAACAAGTATCATAAATGTTGTAATATACTTTAAAGTTTCAGTTAATCATGACAGAACACACAATGAATTAGCAGCAAAATTATTCTAGTTATTAAGTCAGTTTCATTTACAGTGTATAAAAGGTTATTACATTGAGTTGCGCACAATCTTAAACTTAGTTATATTGTACAGTTAGTTAAAACGATGTTAGAAGACTATCTATATTACACGTTTAGTTATCTAAATGTAAGAAGCCTGCCTATATTGTACGGTTAATTACAGAACTGTGTACATTCATTCACGAGAATAACCTCTAATAAAACCTCATAACGAAATAAATCCAGGGAGCCCATAGAAGGTGAAATGGAACACGACTTTTCCACCACTAAAACAAATAAAACGTGTAAGCTAACCAAAATGAAACTATACAGGTTAGAAGCACACAGTCACGTGCATATTAAATATTATACAAGTTGTCTTCAGTTTGAGTCAGTTACAGAAAAGGCTCTCTGGCGTACAAACATTGTTAGTGGAAAACAGTAATAAAAACTTGAACATTTCAATTATTTAAATAAAAATTGAATATTAACCAAATTCAGTTCCAAAACAATGCCTATATAAGGTTCTTTTGTATAAATGTGGCAGTAAAACGTTTTACACACATACACAAATCGTGTTTACTTTAATTGGGAGAGTTGCAAATTGGCGCTATAAGATGGTTGAAAACCTTTAACCTAAGAAAGAAGGTATGTTAAATGTAGGTAAAATAAATTGTCTATTTTTTCTCTATATCCACTTATTTCGTTTTGACTTTGATGGTTAGTTAGGTCAGGCTGAAACGAGATTTCAACCAAAACTAACAATTTTCATGCATATTATAAAATATTGAAATATATCTGTTGTTATATAATGATTTTAAAGACTGGCACTAAGCCTTGGGCGTCATAAACTTATATTAGTAGAATTCTTGCTACAGGAAAGTTAAGGTCTCACACAAACTGTAGGATTACAGTAAAATATTTCTGTTTGTATAAACTAAGTATTGTAGTTATGTGTTAGTTGAGGTTAACGTCAGAGCTTTAGCCTTTAGAGCACAGCAGAAGCAGCCACTAAAATGATTAAGGACATTGGAAAATGTGTTGACTTTGAATCAGCAGAAACTTAAGAGTTCAAAAGGAATATCTTTTAATAAATTGATAATATTTTAATAACTGGTTCATTTACATCAAATTTCATTATAAATATATGTGCGTTAACCTTCTAATAACATAGTTCAGAATGGCAATTGTCTAATTAAGATTTATAATAGAATTAAACAATAGACGATTCACCTTTCATTGTTGTTCCCAGAAAATTTAAGAAGCAAGAAGACGAAAAGGGTTTTCTTAAACACGATGAACTACAAGAAGAGTTTTATGGTAGTGAAAAAACCCCGAAGCAGAAGAATTCTTGGAAACGATACCTGGAACCTAACTGTCCTTGCTGTCCAAATATGACCAAACGATACTTAATAGCCATGCTTTCCTTTTTCGGGTTTCTCATCAGCTTTGGTATCCGATGTAATCTTGGAGTAGCTATTGTTCAGATGGTCAGCAACGTGACAGCAGAAGTAAGTATTACTGGTAACACTAGAATAATCAATATAAAATCCCTAACAAAAGGTACACTAACGCTGTGAAACTAAACTAAAGAAACAAACAAAGTGTAAGGCAATGTATATACGCAAAAATAAAGCTTAGTATATACATTAAATCTTAACATGAAGCACACGATAATCAGTTTGTTCAGTTATATGGAGCCTTAGCTCCAGAATTTTCTGAAGTATTCCGGATTCTGATTAACAACAATAACAAAAACAGTTGAACTTAGGAGGGCTTTCATAGAGGTAAACAATTTGTTTGTTTGTTTGTTTGAAGTTAAGCACAAAGCTACACAAAGGGCTATCTGTGCTCTGCCCACCACGAGCATCGAAACCCGATTTATAGCGTTGTAAGTCCGCAGACATACTGCCGTGCCACTGGGGGGGGGGGGCTATTGCTAAAGAATTGGATTTAATCTTTCTCTAAATGTAGAGTTATAGTTAAGGGGCTGATGATACGTTTTCTAAATATACGTGTTGTTGTTACGAAACCGGATTTAATCCGATTGTACTTTTTTTCTAAATGCACTTGGTAATGTTAAGAAGCGGATTTAGTATAGATACTTTTCTCGGCATATACAGTGGAAAAGGATTAATATGATTATCACTAAATTTACAAGTTATTTTTATTGAAAAGGTTTCACTAGACCATCAATAAGTCTGCAAGTTGTTCGTCACGTACACGTGATATTGTTATAAAACGGTTTTAATGTGAAGTTTTAATCACTAAGCTAATAATGTGCTATTGTTGTGAATCTGCTATGGTTTGTGATACGTTCACCAAATCTACGTGCAACGTTTACCAAGTTTATGTGATACGTTCACCAAATCTACGTGCAACGTTTACCAAGTTTATGTGATACGTTCACCAAATCTACGTGCAACGTTTACCAAGTTTATGTGAATCGTTCGCTTAATCTATGTGAAAAGATTTCTAATTCTATTTCCACTTTGTTATACTAACACAGGAAAAAAAACTTTTAAGCATCTTAAGCTTTTTTTTTCTATTCGTTATATTGTTGTAAGCTATATTTTTAATGTTGTCATTTGTTTGTTTACTAGAGGGAGCTGCGAATTGTAATGATGGCGTTAAGATTGAAATGTTTAATAAGATAGGTCTAGAACATCTAGAAATTTCTAAATTATTTTGACGTCAGCTTTTCTAGTACATTCAAGGGTAGTTTATAAACAAGAGGTTCAGACAAGATATAATATAGTGAGTAAAGGAAAAAATAAGTTAATTTGTTAGTTTTTGGACTGGATGTTAAATTATTTTCATCAGATAATTTAAAAGAACACGCCAACGAAAGAGCAGCTTTACAACAATATTAGCACATAAGACACCAGCTTCTAAGTAGCTTAAGTTATTATATTTTCACTTTGCTATATTAACTCAGAAGACATCAAATTTTAAATAACTGAGATTGTTGTATTTCCTCTTTACTATATTATCAGACAAGACATCAAATGTTAAGCACTTCGAATTATCCATTTTGTTATGTCTACATAGGTATGAATTTTAATATTGTAACCATATGTGACGTCACTTTGGATGTTACTCTCGGAAAACTGGAACAAAACTCTTAGTGAAGACTAAAGAGTTATATATTTTTAGACGATTGAGGAGGAAAATTAAATTATTTAATTTCAAAGTAACTGACTCAGTTATTGGGAGAAATGTGCTCTCTGAGTAATGGAACTGTTGTGATGTTATTATTTTTCATTTAATTTGTTCCCATGCAATAACTATTCTAAACTGCTTATTTCTACTTATAAAGATGTGAGTTGTTAGTAGTTCTTGATAAAATACTTTACTGATCCATATTATTTTTATAGAGTTTCTAAAAATGTCTCACGAGCTTTTGAGTGTTAGTTTAACTTCAACAACCTGTACTACTTTAGAACTATTTTACTACTGATGAATAATAGTCAACTAATGAAAAGCGCTAGAGTTTCTGAGTCTTTTGAGATCAACCTTTTCATCTGAGTTAGTTTAAGACAATGTTTTGCCGATTACCATACTCTTACTAGAACAACTATGGCCTTTTGTCTCTTAAACATATCAGAAATTTAACCTCACGTTTTGAGTTTTCCTTGATCATCTTCAACAAACCGTAACAGAGCAGGTCGAATGATGGTAACTGTTTCAGACAAAAAAGTCTCGTGCAGTCATATTACAGAAATTTATTTATTATATGTAGTACACTGTATTTCCACTAGCGAATTCCCTAGAGTAGTCGCGTGCTCGGAGAACGAGCCACGCTCGAGGTCAACTCACTAAGAGTCGGCCAACCGTAACTTAAGATAAAATGTCAGTTATAGCAGCCAAAGGGCAGGAATAACAGCAGCACTGAACAGATGACAGTTATATATCTTTGACATTTTCTTGTGGTGAGAAAACTGAGATTTTTTTTGTCGTTTATTGCTGTCATTTATGTTTCAAAAGGTGATGGTGTAATATGTTATCAATTACAGGTAAAAATGGCCCTGCCGTGATACAAGAAAAAGTTTAATTAATTATTGATTCATTGTGAAACGTAAAAATAAGATATACTTAAAAGCACATACCTGTCTTTTCGCAGTATTATTTAAGCTGAATTTCGCTTCTTATCGTTATATCGTTGCTTGGTTATATACACATGACGAGATGTTTGTTGGATAACATTGTAACGTTGTATCGTTCTAGAACGTCACTTAGTTGCACATGAAATGTGGGTGTAATTATAAAACGCTTGCTCGATAACATTGTACCATAGCATTGTTCTAGAAAGATGCTTGGTTACAAACGAAATGTGGGTGGAGATAGAAAAGACTTTCTGGATAACATTGTAACATAGCATTGTTCTAGAAAGATGCCTGGTTACAAACAAAGTGTGGGTGGAGTTAGAAAAGACTAGCTGGATAACATTGTAACATAGCATTGTTCTAAAAAGTTGCTTGGTTACAAACAAAATGTTGGTGGAGTTAGAAAAAGACTAGCTAGATAACATTGTAACATAGCATTGTTCTAGAAAGATGCCTGGTTACAAACGAAGTGTGGGTGGAGTTAGAAAAGACTAGCTAGATAACATTGTAACATAGCATTGTTCTAAAAAGTTGCTTGGTTACAAACAAAATGTTGGTGGAGTTAGAAAAAGACTAGCTAGATAACATTGTAACATAGCATTGTTCTCGAGGGAGGTTTTAAGATAATGAAAGGTGTTGGGCGATATTATGTTGCAAATAGAATATTCCAAAATAATGTTTGAATGAGCAATAAAATCAGGCTCTTTGTAGTTTGTTTATTCAAAGTATAGACTGCACAACGAGTGTTACACTCTATTCTAAAAAAATGGTGTGAACACACACAAGTATCACATTTTACTGTAAAAGCAAGGGTATGAGACGTGAGTGTTACAAATGGTGTTATTATACACCATGATCACATTTATTGTGACAAACGATGAGATTACACACAAGTATCACATTATATTGCCACATTTTCTATTTCTAATTATTAGCCAATTAATTACTTAAAAATAATCAATATGAATTATTTTAAAAAACAGACATTTGAAACGTCAGGAAATGCTAGAAAACTGTAGCTATGTGTCATATAACAATAAAATCTATAAATAATGATACAAGTTGTCTCGGATAAAAATCGGTTAGTATCAACGATGATAGTTTTTCCTTACACTATGTCGGTGTACATAAACAAAGCCCGTTACACAGAGGCGACTGATGATCAGCTCAGGAGTTCACTTATAAACTGAAGTATGACGTCTCCCATTACGGTTTGTGTGCCTCAAACGTAGTTTTTATTAAAACTGAAACTTAACATAGTATAATGGTAAAATATGAGATCTACACAAACAAGCCTTTTTAGAGTGGCTTAAGATGCTTACCATATAAAGTATCTTCTTATATCCTATCTTAACCTTACACTTGCAGCATATTTATAACAGTCCATTAAATTAGTCACATTAACCTCACGAAAACATATTGGTTAGGTTGGTTTTAGCATAGGTGAGCTGAAAGAAATAGTGAAACCTCTATCCAAACCACACTTATGAATTATAAAACATATTCCAAACATCCCGAAATTAGATCTAAACATGAAAAATATTTCATTATTAAATAAATGGAGAAATGTAATAAATCCACTTGATATATATATATATATATATTATGTAGTTTTTTATAAAAAAAATGCTACTGACAAAATTCCAGTTTGTTTTCTTTCTTTTTTACCACTGAGAAAGAAGATGGCGTTTTGCTCCAGCAGTTTTTCTTTTCCTTCGGTAAATATCAACAGTCTTTAGATTTTATCAGGGCTAAATTTTTCCGAAACTATTAACTATTGAATATACAAAGAACCGTTGAGGCTTAGCTTGAGGGCTTATAACCATTGAATTTAGGGTTCGATTCCCGTATTGGACAATTTGTAATTTTACCTTACCAATCGGCTAAAGTTTTGTTTGTGAATACCACAGACTGAGATGTAAAGTTAACGTTTTGATATCATAAACAAATATTTATTTTTTGTGGAATTTAAGTTAAAGGTGCTTCTCTGATAGTAGGTAAATACATAATATCATGTAAAGTTGTCTAAAATAAAGTTTAAATCCACAGTAACGGAACAATACCAAACTTATAATGATACAAGTTTAGTATAATTTCGTTATTATTCAAACTTCATTTTAAATGTGCTTCTCTGTCTTCTGTTACCATTCTTTGTGTGCTATTGAATTTTGTAAACTGTGATCGTGGTAGGTCCCTTTCTGAGATCCTGGACTATGGCTTCTTCTGCAAATGGTAAGAATCGTATTCACATTCTCAGTTTGGCCTGAGAATGAGAATATTCAGTCGTATTTAGAGTATTCCTGAGAGCAGGATTTTATGGTCATGAAACATACATCTGAACACCCTAAGACGGACGATGGGGGTGTGTCTTTTGATTTTACAATAATCTTTAATACAGATGCAGCGTGGCGTGAGAGTTATATCTGTTTATATTTCAACTAACAATTCACTTAACGGAAAAGTTTCAGGAAAATAATTGGCTTGTGTTATATGTTAATAAAACGTCATACCCACTCCCAGTTTGGCTAGACTCACCCCGCAAAGTTACTTATATACCGGCGGTTCACAACGTTCTGAGTCACGTTCTGACAGCATCAGTTACATCCACACTGACTCCAAACGACACGAACAAGAATTGTAGGTTTTTTTAATAGTGAATTGAATTAGTATATAGTCTGCTGTCTTATTGTCAAATGTTCTGGTAATGTTTTATTCACGATCCACGTTTTTCTCGACTTCATTTTAAATATACAGTTTATCTATATAATATGCTTCTTCTCTTTGCAGCTATACCTTAGATAACCTTATCCATTATAAAAATGTCAGTGTTTTTCAACTCACTAACACCGCTTCCACATCCACATACATAATATAATCCCATGTAAAGTGTAAAAGGAGAAGTAAGTTAATATATAATATACAAACTTTACACAAAAATACATACATACATTCCGAAGTCACCAAAGTTCTAGAACAACACATGTGTTTATTCTGTCGACAGTGATTTGCATCTTAAAGGTTGCTCTTTTTAGACAAAAGGTTTTAAGCACTCAATTGTTTGATTGTTTGTATCGAATATACGAACAAAGCTACAACAGATCTATTTGCACAAACCGTCCCTAATTTTAAACTGATATACTAGCTGGAAAGCAGCTATTTACTAACACCCACTGAAAACGCTTAAGCTACTCTAATCGAATAGTGGGAAATGACCGTCACCCTGATAAAATACCCACGGTCCACGAACCATGAATCCTCAGATTCACAGTCAGAGAAACTAGCTTCTAGGCCACGTTCAACCCAATTCTGTATCAAGCTCTTAACTTTCTTGATACTTACCAGGTTAAACCATGTACACAAACAAACATCTCGAGAGACAAATAGATGATTGTAACTGTTTGAGAAAAAGAGTATTTTATTTTTTGAGTTACTCTTAAGCACATAAAAAACCAACATTGGGACAGACTTTAAACAACTAGATCGGTTAATTTATTCACTTACAGTAATAACTGGTTATGGTGCAAAGCTCCATTAAAAAAAACAAGTACTCTGTTACTCTATTACTTTCAAAGAACTGTAAAACACTACGCTTTACGAAAATCCCTTATTTGAACAATAAAATATGAAAACCGGTTCATTGGATTATTGATCACAATATTTTCAAGTACAAGTGTGTTGTTTTATATCTTAGTATAAAATTGAAGTTTTAGACTCACAAATTCAGCATTTCAAGCTTCCGAACAAAATTAAAAGTCTTGAGTATTTGTGTTTATACTAGTGGTTGAAGTTAGACATGTTTATTCCTGATCTCGTTAAGCTATTACTTTTAATCACATCACCAGGAAAAAATAAATCCTTGGCTTATTGAGGCTTTAGAATTGGGATATTTTGTTGTCGAGAACATGAGCATTACAATCTGCTTTTTTTTAATATCAATTTATATAATATTTTTTACTTTTGCTTAGTATTATACTTTCTAATAGCCAATTCTTTTATTCACCTAAAGGCGTTTTAACAGTGTGCTACTAAAAATGGTTATTCAAAGACAATATCTCCAACTTAGCATTTTAACAGTGTGCTATTAAAAATGGTTATCAAAGACAATATCTTCAACTTGGTATTTAAGAGTGCTGCTAGAAAGGTTATCAAAGACAACACGTGGTAGTTAAGAGTGCTGCTAGAAAGGTTATCAAAGACAACTATCTCCACGTGGTAGTTAAGAGTGCTGCTAGAAAGGTTATCAAAGATAACTATCTCCACGTGGTAGTTAAGAGTGCTACTAGAAAGGTTATCAAAGACAACTATCTCCACGTGGTAGTTAAGAGTGCTGCTAGAAAGGTTATCATAGATAACTATCTCCACGTGGTAGTTAAGAGTGCTACTAGAAAGGTTATCAAAGACAACTATCTCCACGTGGTAGTTAAGAGTGCTATTATTAATTACAAATACTTTCTGTAATCATTTTTTATCCAACTAATTGTTGTATTTGTGCGGATTCTGAAACCACTCATCACTTGCGTACTGTAGGGACCTGAATTCGATTGGTCACCTGAAACAATCGGAGTCATAGACTCGTCGTTCTTCTGGGGTTACCTAGTTACACAGATCCCAGGAGGGTTTCTTGCCGGCAAATATCCTGCAAACAGGTAAGTCTTGCTAGAACTTCCGAAATCATTTGGGAGAAAAGAACATTAATTAAATCTTTATTTATGGGCACTGCACGTGGAATTTTCCCGTTGATGTTTTGTTCATAAAAATGACTAAATAAAGAAAGACGAATAATTAAGTGATTGAAATTCCATTGTAATTATTGTGATATTTGTGACGATTAAGTAATTACGCTGTTAAACATTGTTTTCTTACGGAACATCTAAATGAACGTCTTTGTGCAGTTACATGTTACAATAACATGTTATTGTATACTTCCTACTTATGTTCAAATAAAGTGCTTTTGATTGAATGCTATTGTTCCTTTATCACAGGGTGTTTGGAACAGCAATTGCCGTATCGTCATTTCTTAATCTCCTGGTTCCTGGAGCATCGAAAGTTCATCCAGTATTGGTAATATTTGTTAGGATACTCCAAGGATTAGTTGAGGTAAGGTTTAGTAATACATTTCAGAACATATATCATGACTTGATTACTTCTAGTCCTCTTAATAATTATCAAAATGCAACTCAGTCCTAATAATTATTATGGGATGAATTTGAGTTTTGAAGGTAATTGTACGTCGGTAAATACAATTGTTTGATTGAGTTTAAGTGATAACACAATTGCCAATTGATTGATTCATGGTGATAACTGTTAAAGAAAACCGTGGTTTAGTTGTTTAGCTGTTTGATACCTGTCAGGGAACACCAAATAATAGTTGAGTCCTGGTAATATCAAAATGATTGATTGATTCCTGGTGATAACTGTTAAGGAAGAACGAGGATTACTAACTCTTGGTAATAGATGTAAGTATAACACAAGGGTTGATTGATTAATTCCTGATATAACTGTCAGAAAACACCGAGGATTAGTTAAATCCTTTATGTATAACACAAAGGTTGATTGAATGATTAATAGTTACCTGATATAACTGTCAGAAAACACCGAATATTAGTTAAATCCTTTATGTATAACACAAAGGTTGATTGAATGATTAATAGTTACCTGATATAACTGTCAGGAAACACCGAAGATTAGTTAAATCCTTTATGTATAACACAATAGTTGATTGATTTCTTGTGGTTCCTGTCAGAGAACACTATGGATTAGTTAAATCCTTTAAGTATAACACAAGGGTTGATTGATTCCCTGTAGTGCCTGTCAGAGAACACCAGGGATTAGTTGAGTCCTAGTAACAACTGTAAGGATAACACAAGAGTTGATTGATTTATGATGATTACTGTAAGGAGACACCATGAATTATTTGAGTCCTGCTAATAATTAGAACGATAACACAAGACGTGTTTGTCATTTCATCTTCAAAGATTAACGTTTTTACCGATTAAAGCCCTAATCTTAATTCGGTGTTATCTACTTGCTACATAAAGTTTAATATTTCGAACTGAATTGAGAAACTCTCTAGACCAGTTAGTTAAACAATCGCCAGTGTTTTTAGAAACTGCTATTCGTAATATCGTTTCTCCTTATTTTGAATGTTAAGAAATCGCTTATTAATCTCAATAACTGTTTCAATCTCAAAGTTCTTACATTACTAATAAACGTTTTGGTAGTTCTGATACGTCACTAAGTAGTGAATTTCTTTTTACTCACGTGATATATCATCTAGCCAATCATAACGGTAATTTATTCAGAATGTTTTAAACCATGTACTTTAATGAACCTCGAGATGCATCTAATCATTCATCGGGATTTTATAGTTTAAAACAAAGTTGAGGTATTTTGTTTGTTTGTTTGAAGTTAAGCACAAAGCTACACAACCCCGGATTCTAGCGTTATAAGTCTCCAAGGTATTTTATTTCTAGGAATCCTGAAACCTTTTAAATGAAATTAACGTTAAGAATTTCAACCGAAAACTAGAAATATGATGCATTTGACCACTTTATTTATACCTTTTAGTCTTGTACATAATCTGACTTGCTAGAAACGTCAAGAATTATTCACATGATCTTCCAGTGCTATAGGTACAAATTTCTCGATTGATATAATATTGGTGTTGGCTAATTTAAATAAATATCTAAAGAAACTGAATAGGCCTCGTGTCTTCACTAAAGCATCCATATCATTATAACTGAATTAACTTCAGTAAATAATTTTCTTAAAGTCCCAAACTTAGCTTAATTTATTAAATATGTAAGGAAGTATTTGTGAAAGTAATGCAATACCACTTACTCCAATGTAAGTTACCTCTATATAGAAAGTAATGGTAAATTTGCCGTAAGATGATGTAAGAGTAATAACTAAACGTTTCTGTTTTGGTAATACTCACTCGTGACTAACCGTTTCTTCTAAAAATTAAAAAATGCAATTCTAAGTCTGACCTTTCTTTATAAAACACTTGTTTTCATGTAAAGAAGATTTATTGAATTTCGGGTGGTTTAAGTTGCTTATTAATACTTTAATGAGAGTCCGTAGCCTGGGATAAAATTTTACATGGAAAGTGAGCACCTTCAAACATTCGTTCTCGATGAAAGAGTATAAGTAAAAATAGAGAATCGCCCACTCACCACCAAAACAACAACAACAACAAACAAAAAAATCCTCGTCTAAAATACTATAAGGCTCTATTCGATTACTGTGGATATCTTGAGCAAGGATAGGTGCAGTTTATGTTTAATATGTTCTGGTTGATAAGTTTTATATTCGAAAAGCTGTACGCAGTTTATTTTCCGTTTTCACTGTGGTTGACACTGATATAATTAGAAAATGAAGTTTTTTATCTGGTTATAATGTGTGTTAATATGCATGTTTTCGATTACAATATTTCAACTTATGCAATTTTCTTGTTCTGCAGCTTTGGTTTTTGATTTACCTCCTGTCTGAAATTTTCTGTTCCTGCTCAATTCTGGCTAGTTTTAAAGCAGTAACTGATTAACAAAATTTTTAGAAGACAGCAGAGTTAGCAGTTATTTTGTTTCGAACAAATGCAAATATCTTTCTGTTGTGTTGTAATACTTTGGATGACAAAGATATATATATATATATGTTTGCTGCATGTTCGTTTTTAAGGCGTATAGGTGTTCTAAAACTGTCCTTATTACCGTTTTTTAGAAAGTTTAACAATAATTTTCTGGTTACAGATATTGATTAGCCAATTGAGTCTATGCGAACTCGTTTGTTCTTCACTGTTTTTATTGCAAATATTTGTCTCCTTTTGAACGAGGTCAATAATTTACTTCTGTGTTTGTTTCTCTCTGTGAGCAGCATTCACAATGATTCTTTTCCGTTCTGAATTCCTAAAAACCCTTTCATTCTAGCAAGAGCTACCACTTTTATCTATGTGAATTCAGAGTCACGGGAAACACGTTATCGTTACTATAGCAACGACGCCTGGTATTCCGTTTTATTGCATAAAGTTCATTTGCTATAGGATCAACGCTTGTCCAGTAGAATACCTGAAGAAAGAGAGCATTTCGCATATTTAAGCATTTGTTTGTTTGTTTTGAATTTCGCGCAAAGCTACACGAGGGCAATCTGCTCTAGCCGGCCCTAATTTAGCAGTGTAAGACTAGAGGGAAGGCAGCTAGTTATCACCACCCACCGCCAACTCTTCAGCTACTCTTCTACCAACAAATAGTGGGATTGACCGTCACATTATAACGCCCCCACGCATGGTAGCAACACCCTACCTTATGTTATAAGATAAAGGAAATTACTGACTACATCTTAAACATTCTGTTAAAAAGTAATGTTGTAAGGGGTTCACAAAATTCCATTTTATTTCTGGAGCTTCATAAATATATGAATATCGTTTTTATGAGATGAATATATCCTGCTTGGTGAGTCCTTAAATATGTTTTTCTTTACTAGAAAGATGACTTACGTTAACAAGTTGGTCCTTGAAAACATCAATTTTGATAAGAACCGAGTTTCTGAGACTTGCCACATAATAATATTAAACTTAAATAATTTTATTCTGTAATGAACATAAAATAGTATATAAGAGTTTAAGATAGCCTTGTACCTTTCGTGTTTCCGTAATGGTTTTGTATGAAAGAAGAGTATAACTGATTATTAAGGTAAAATGTTTGTTATTTGCATCTGTTGGAAAAAAGTTCTAAACAACTCCACCTGTTTATTGAAAAACACTGTGGGTTTTAAGACAGACTACATCCCTATATCGTGTGAAACTCATAGTGTTATTTCATACCACACAAATACCAGTGGGGCCAACAGAACTGATACCTGCCCAAGCCAGTATGCCATCATCTTCATATACGCATGTTTCCGCTGTGAAATTGTGGTTGGATCTGAAAACGGTCACTCTTCAAATGTTTACACAGTTTGTATCAGGCTGTATTGTGTAACGTCATTTGTTTGCGAACAAGACATTTCTCAATATTTTTAATTAACCCAGGAGTTCTTGATGCCATTAAAGACAGGCTGTTTTCTGTTGATGTATTAGAGGAACCCAACCATTTGTCGTTTGACATAAAGTCCAACTTCAGGAAGCGTGTATTTTATGTTATAGAGGCATTTAAAATACCTAGTTATCAGTCTAGTCATTCTCACTTTTCTGAGTCAGTTGGTAAGCTGAGGCCTTCCAGTTGCGTCAGGTCCATATTGTCAAACGGCGAAGTTGTTGCGACAATGGTCTACCATGTCTATATCTCCAGTCAAACTTATTGGTGTTCTAAGATCAACTCCGTATTCTACTAACGACACTTTGTGAGACATTTAACCTCTTCATTGACTTGTTTGCAACTTTGACAGATGTCTTTAACAATATATAATAAGAATGGCTGTGCCTTGTCATACATATAAGTTACAAGTCTGAAAGTTTTTCGGAGAAATGTGTCACGTGTGGCCTACAGGTTAGCTTGATTGGACTTTGAATTCGAAGGTTTATGGTTTGTGCCCTGTTGCCGTAAAAAATGCGCTCCGCACTTCGGGATAAATCTTTAAACATTATTTTATGGCGATTAAACATTGAAACCACTACTTCTATCAATCAGAAATTCTACACGAGTAATTACAGCAAGGAAATTAATAACAGCGAAATGCTTTTTATTGTTAAACAACTTTCTTAATAGTCACGCTATATACAATTCTAAACACATTACGTCCACTCTGCTAGTTTCAGACTTTTAGTCATATCCCATTCAGTCGTGAGTTGTTTTTTTGTTTACTTTCTCTATGTAATAAACTAGTTGTGCTAGGCAGTAAAAAAAATGTTTAACCTAACAGTAATTAAATGTTATTAAATTGAGATATAACATTATAGTATGACTGACGCATTATTATATCAAACAAGAGGGAATCCTCAATAGCCGCGGTACTTGAAATTCTTTTAGGCAAGATTAGAGTAAATTAATCTATGATACATTTTCTTCCTCTTTATTAATGATATTTTTGAGCGCCAGCAATACCAAGCGTGGGGCGCGCGTATACCCGATTCGATTTTATTACTCATCAGGATCTCTACCAGCCTACACTCAAATTGAAATTCTTTTAGGCAGGTTTAGAGTAAAATAATCTATGAGATCTTGGGCGTGGTCAAGTACATAAAACGAAAGGGTTTGACCTCCTGAGTCCGAAACTGTAATTAGATCTCAAACCTGTCAAGAGATGGCAGAGCTATGAGCTAAAAGTTTGTACTTGAAAAACTCGGAGACATTCTATGAGCCGCTATGCCTCGGTTAAAAATGATCGACAATAAAATATTCAAATAATGAGGTTATTGTAAATTATATTTAAATTATTTAATTCTGACTTATAGGGGGTAACGTATCCAGCCTGCCACGGTATTTGGCGACACTGGTCACCGCCTCTAGAGCGTAGTCGGTTGGCAACTTTGGCATTTTGTGGCAAGTACTATTTTAAAATCTTAATACTACAACGTTTGAAGTTGTGAGCAATTTTGTATTATATTATAATAGTTTAAAAAAACTATTTTGTGTGATCTCATATATTAGCTAAAAAAATGAATTCATCTTTATATTTCCTGTTTAAAAATTGAAAGGTTATCTATGTCAACTCAGTTTTTGAACACTTAATACATTACTAATAGTATTAGTTTTATGTTTGTTTTGTATTAGTTATATTTATTGGAGACTCAGACCTCAAACTGGAAAAACATATTTTGGGTAGACTGCAATGTTTTGAAAATAAAGAAAACACGTTTCGAAACATATGTTGGCTTATTATCGAAACAATAAAAAAATTGGTTGAGCATATTTCGACTAAAGTTCTGGTTTATTATCGACATAATAACAAAATCCCAACATGAATCCAACCAAATTCTTACTCAATACTGACACAGTTGGAAAATCGTATAGCGTGCTTGAACTCCAGTTCATTATTGACACAATAGGAAAATATGGGCAACATGCTAAAAACAAGTACATGTTCACTATTAACATTATAGCAAGATAACGACGATATGTATAAAGCTAAGTTCTGTCTCATTATTTTCGCAATGGGAAAATAAAGTAAACAAGTTTTGAACCATATTCTGTCTCATTAATAAGACAATAGGGAAATGAAGACAACGCATTTCCGTGATATATTTTAAGCTAAATTCTGGTTTACTAATAATATGGTAGGAAATGGCGACAACAAGTTATGAACCAAATTCTGTCTCATTAATAAGACAATAGGGAAATGAAGACAACGCATTTCCGTGATATATTTAAGCTAAATTCTGGTTTACTAATAAGATGGTAGGAAATGGCGACAACATGTTCTGAACCAAATTCTGGCCAGTTAGTAACATAGTAGAAAATAGAGACAACAGGTTTCAAACTGACTTCTGGTTAAACATTAATAAATTTGGAAGATGGGGAAGAGTCAAATTCGAGCTCATTTTGAAAAACAGAGATTTTACTCTAGTTCTGTTTCACTGTTTTTCAAACGTTTTCAAAAAGATACTTGCTATCCAAAATAGATGATATGCGTAGTTAGTGTGATTTTCGTTATGCGCTAGTAACAACCTCCGCCTACTTCTCTGTCAAAATTCATATGGTAACTGTTGTAAAACACTTTCATGTTCACCACACATACAAAAATCTAGTTTAAGCACGTGTTTATATAGTTTAACGAAACAAAAAATACTCATTCGTTCTAAACGAAGGTTATAGTTAGCTACAGGATATAACAAAATTTGGAAGTAGGATCACATTTATCAAATATTTTAGATTGCATAAATAATTTTTTGGGAGACAATAAGAACTTAACAGTTTCAACGTTGTATTTTACCAAAGTAAAACAACGCGTTAGTCTATATAGGTTATTATGCAAACTTTAAGTATTTTTGTATTTGTATTCTAATTCTTATGCACATTGGTAAAATAAAATAAATCTGTTGACGAACTTTGTTTGTAAACTTTCAGGTTCTTACGCTGGAGCTGTAATTGGTATGCCCCTGTCAGGAATTCTGACAGATTACATAGGATGGCAGGCATGTTTTTATTTTTATGGTAAGATATTTAGACATTGTTTTTGTTTAGTGTTGGATTCTTGTTCTCGTGAATTATCTACTATTAATATTAAGCAAATGATCATGGTGTATTATCATAACTGACCGTCTTAGCATTATGTAAGTTATCATTTTGGATTCTCGTGATTGATCCAGAACTGTTATTAAACAAATGATTAATGGTCCAGTATTTGAATTAAACAAATGATCACTTTGGATTCTCGTGAATTACCCGGTATTAGTGTTAGACAATGAGGAGGTTGGTGTAAACTGTTAGCGAAACAGCTTTCAGATTTTCAAACAAAGTGTCAATATTACTTTGACTTGAAAATAACAGTAATTTGACTCGAATTCCTTAATAAAGAACTACCAATAAGAAACAAAGCTCACTAAAATATACTAAAATATTGTTATTTGAGAATAAATTATATTATTAACTAAGTGCAGAGAATGGTATTCACATTTTTTCGTAATTTTTAGTTGTAGCATTTAGGTTTACTTGACTTGTAAAAGTAGCGTGCAACGCTCTTCCTGAAACAAAGCTAAAACATCCAAGAATTTGAGGGGCTAATAAATATGAAAGACTAATAGTAACATTTCAATTAAAATATACTGTAGTCTTACTAACTAAGAAATGTTTGATTTTTTCTAATAAAATTAAGACTGCTTTTGATAAAAAATAAAGATCATATATCATATTACCAACCCATTGTTATATTTTAAATTGGAAAACAAAGAAAGACACAAACTATGCATTAATGGATTAATCCTTTAATAATGAGGCACGTTTTTCCAGGGCTTGGAATAAAAGCATACTGCATAAGAAATGTTCAAGTAAACCGTGCTAACCGACGATTTTCTTCCTGCAACACCAAAAAATAAAATTAAATTAAAATAGATGAACTACTTAAATGAATTGTTTTACAGCGTAAAACATTCACAATGTTAATTGTATGACTAACTTAGTATTGGGAGTTTTATAAAATTACCAAAAAGCTATTTGGATAACACAGTTCAATGAAAATGTTTAAAGCTGTAATTCGTACGTTTGTCAAAGAGCCATTGGATAACACAGTACAATGGAAAATGTTTATCGCTGCGTTTTAAACCTGGGCCAGTTGGACAGCATAGTACAAAGTGAATTATTACCGCTGCATTTCATAGTTCTGTTATTGAACTACAGAGACAACACAGTACAATGGAAAATATTTATCGCTGCGTTTCGTACTTGTTTCATGATTACGTGGTGTCTAGTGTGGAGGCTTTTTGAGTTTGAGTATTAATGATGATGTGTTTATTCGTTTCATTAGTAATGATATATTTATAATATAGGATGTATTTTCTGAGATTTACTTATTTCATTAATTATGGTGTGTTCATACAGTAACAAGTGCTTTTGGAAGTTTTCTCATTTCATTAATAATGATGTTTTAATATAATAACAGGTGTTTTTGGATGATTTTTCATATAATTAATAATAATGTGTTCATATGATAACAGGTGTTTTTGGATTGATATGGTACGTATTCTGGATGTGGCAGTCTTTTGAAAAACCTTCAAAACATCCGACAATTACTCAAGAGGAGGTCATTTACATCGAGTACAGCTTGGGCGATTCTGTTGGTCAAAATACGCTGACCGTATGTAAATATAATAAACTAAAAATAATGCAAAATAAAGACTTTTTAATTTAAAATTGTTGTCATTTAGTAACATTGTAAATCTATGTAACTCAGAAAATCATTTTGTTGTTACTATATTTGTATCTCTGTTACCATATGTGTGTATCCTTGTTACTATATATGCATCCTTTTTACTATATTTGTATCCTTGTTACTATTAAGTCGTCAAGAAATTAATGTCGCTTTCTTTTAGATGAAAAAACCGAACAACTTATATATCAAAACAAAGCATTTATTAAATGAAATAGTCTCTATTCTTATCAGTGATGTTTTTCCATCTTACAACCAGGTTGTTAATGCCCTGATTAAAGACATCACTTGGCTTTAAAAAAAAAAAAAAAAAAAA